AAAGTGCATTCTATAAGTCGAATCCATTTTCGTGTTAGGGGAAGTCCCTTTTTCTAAACCAAATGTTTAATTTTTTCTTACATATGTTGCAGTCGCTGGCATTTGAGCAAATGTATAGAATGGCATTTCTTACGCGTGCATTTCTATCTACCTAAATCCACTCACATATTCTTGCAACGAAACAAAAAAGGAATAAAAACAGATGTTTTGGCTTCTGTTACTTCTCACGTGGATGTGGTATGCTGTAAAAACAGCTGCTTCATTTCCATGTTATAATTCTGCAACAAAGGTATTCTCGCACTCTTGCAATTTTATTGTAGCGTTCTTGCATTTCGTGCAACTTGCAATGACTTTGCACGAAATAGTGAATACCCCTAATATATTGCTAGTACCAAGTTAGCAACGTTGCTGTGGAAACTTTTTCAGAGGTGAATAGTAAAAATATTGAAATGATATTTACTTATTTTATTTCTTGAGCATATTTTCTATACTTTAGATATTGTAGTACTCTATTCTTTCAATTCTATTCTACTCTATCGTAGTACTCTATTTTTATATTCTTTTTGCTGCTAATAATTTAATTAATTCTCTGTTATGGAAATTTGCGTGCAAATTGATACCGTTCCTAGATTTTTCTACAAATAAACTTTTTGAAAATATCAATATTTGCCAATTTTTTTCGTATAATTTGTAAAATAACCATCAGAGACCTAATTTCTGTACACCAATCGAAAGACTTCTCAAAATTCTGTAAATACAAGTATTATGCATTTCTGTTCACTTTATTTATTTTTTTTAAAAAACAATCAATTTTGCAATATTTATTTATAAATAACTACCCAAGTTTCCATAATAAAGTTTCCAGCTGATTGCTCATCAATATATTAAGAAAAACAACTATTATTAAAATAAAAACCGAAATGACAATTATAGGATTGACGTTTGGGAATCTACTTTAGCAAAGTTCGTTCACTAAAATTCGTAATGTAAACATAGTATAAAACCCTCTTCACTCATAAGACTTTTAAGCCACATTGATAAAAATATGACTTATAAACGCGAGGAACTGTCTTAAACTAATTAAAATTAAATTTATATGCTTAATAGTAGAGATAAAATTTTCTAAAATATGTTCTGCAAATTTGATCATGTAAAAGTTAAATTTAATAACGGTATACAGTTTAATATACCATATAATTAAATTTAAACACAGTACATCTGTTCATTTCTTATAATTATTTGTACTAATGAAACATATATTTTTTATATAATCACATAAATTTTCTTGATTATTAAGGAACTTTATCTACAAACTATCATCAGAAGATGAGCAATATATTATTACTGCTCTGTGACCGTCGGATCTACTATGCCCCCTTCTAAGTTTAGAGTAGGTCTCAAAACCCTATTGTGTCAATAAAAAGTAGTATAGAACCTAATTTACAGAGTTTTATTACCTCTTTCGTAAAAATATACATTCCCAGAAGTTTATTCCGTATGTGCATTATCACAGGGGATTCTAACAGAACATGTGTAGCCAACTTCTAAGTCCCTTCACAGAATCTACAGTTTGCATTCGTATGTACACCCAGTCTCGAGCAGTATATTAGCTCAGTTAATATTTAATAGAATTTAATATCTAATGGATACTTGTTACATGTATTTATCTCGATAAGCGTGTAGGATCACATTTAAAAAAATTTTTTTTAAACAGTAAATAATACGAAGACAAACTATCTTAAAATAGCACATTTAAGAAAACTAAATTGCTTTTTGTTTATTTTTTTATTTCACTGTTCACTTAACTCTAAACTTTTAAGGAAAAATTTAAGTAAAATAAATGACTCACGTAAAATAAGAATTGTACGTTCACACTATCTTCTTTAGGCGGTTTTCCTCATTAACATCACTAATGAGGATGATTTACCATACAAATAGCTTTCATATAAATGAGCTCATTTACAATAAATCAGCTAAATTTTGAAGTTTAAACTTAATTTTAATATTATTTATGAATAACAAACAGCGTAGTATGACAAATTAATTTTTATGTTTGTAGTAATCAGAGTGCTACATTTCTTATATTATTTATACAACCACATTCCAAGCATTATCTCTTGTGGCATGGAATGTTACACGTATTAATTTAATAGAGCATGGTAAATTGAATTTAGAGTCTAAGTAAAATATTTTTAACATAACAACACAGTTATATGAAGTTAATTGCAACCCTGCTTTTAAAACAAAAAAGTTGACATTAACTCAATAAGTTTTTGAAAAGTTATTCTTTAGTTTTTCGAGTACATGATTTAAAAAACGGAAAGATGAGTTTACGCGAGCCGCCTTCACCTCGTCGTTACAGATGTAAATATTTGAATTAAAAAATTATTAATCATTTAAATTAAATTGCAACGAAAAAAATATTGAACATAATTAATTTCAGCACCAGATCGTAATAATAGAACTGAGAAAGGTATGCATCGTTATCGTGATCGAAATGCGCCTTATTATCCAAGTTATATACAACATGACGTTAGATCTGAACACCGCTGTAAATATTACGACCGTAATAATTATCGTAGTCGAAGTAGGGAACGTCAGTACAATGGAAACTCTCAATGGTTCAATAATCGTACAACAAAACCTTCATATCACCGCAATACACGTGAAAATATGCCGTATTCAAAAAATTGGGATCCTTCAAGCGCACCACCTAGTGTACCATTTAATGAAAATCATAAAAATCGTAATAATAGTACATCGCGTGAAATTGCTCCACGTTGCTCAAGCACTCCATTTAAAGCCACTGATTCGTATGGCTTTGTTGGTACAAACGGTACAGCTACAGCAAGTGACCCAAATCAAAAAGCCAATTACACCAAGGTTTTGAAGCATTTAGTAATTTCACATCTTTTAACACAATTAATTCCAGCAAACAATATAACTGAGCAACATTTTGAAAATTTTCCCTTAAAGGATTCCGACAAGAATGTCAACCATGCGAATAAATATGTTGATGATCATGATGAGGGCTACGATGCTGATTCAGAAGATTGTTTTGATGATTTTTTTTTTGAAAACTTATACTACTCCAGTAAGTTAAGAAAAGAAATAAGAAAGTATCATGATATTAAGAAGGAATTAATGGAAATTTCTGCCGAAATCCAAATCAAAGAAAAACAAGATAGAAATGGTATTTATTATAATTGCACTTCAAATGATTTCATTTATTTATATAAATATAAGTTTCATAATATATATAAAACTTTTCTTATTTATTTTTAAGGAGGCAATGATAATAATGATATTAATGATAATAAAATTTGCAATGAAACCAAAGCTTCAACTATAACTTCAGAATCCTAGAATAGCAACTTTTAGGAACCTATAATATTAATCAAGCAATTGTTTGTTACTATATATGCTGCCAAAAAATTATTTATTTAAAATAAAAAATTAATTAATAATTATTGATCAATGTCAAAATCGACAACTATCGATAAAAATGAAATGAATTCAAGATGGCGACTTTAAGAATGATTTCAAATAAAAATAACGACAGTTATTGTCTGTATTTTAATATATACAATCAATATATATTGAATTCTTTAAAAAATTTTAATATTTAAACTAAAGAGAATATATTGCATTGATGGATGAAGCTAACTTGATAATGAAATTTTTAAATACATGGCTAAAGTAAATTTGAAAGTCAATGGATTAAATGATTGTCAAAAGCAAGATAAATCAAAAATTATATTATTTACTATTATTTCATTTACTGAATAAATAAATTCTCTAAATAATAAATTATAATTTTTTTGTAGTTTTATTTATGATAGACTTATCGGTTTTTTAAGATATGAGTAATATTTGTATACAATGAGATATTCACTCTGCTTTGCAAGTCATTGTAAGTTACACAAAATGCTAGATTGTAATACTTTAATTGTAAGAGTGTAAGAACACTTCTGTTGCAGAATTGCAGCATCAAAATTAAACAGCTGTTTTTGCAACATACCATGAGAAGCAACATATGTCAAAACAGCAAGCATGTATACATGGGTGTAAGTATAGCAAGATTGCAAGGAATTGTATGGAACTTTATGCATCAGTGGACTTTATAGTATTTTTCTATAATACGAACGTTTCTTTTAACAGCAATATATAATTATTTTTTTTATTTTTATTTATTTATTATAAATTAATATATTTGTGTTTATTTAAAAGGAGCTAATACGGGTGTTATTTGTTGTGAACCAGCCTTGCAATAGTTTATCTATTTTTAACAAAATGAGATAAGTTTAGTCCATCTGAGTTAAAGTGCTGTTAGTTTGTGTATATGTGCGCAACACATATTGCACAAAAACGTCTTGTTTAGGCTATACCATTTGGTATATCAGAACCAAAATTACGGAAATATATGTCATTACTAGCCATAATATTGGCAATTTTGGGATATGTCCACCCGACTATTAGAAAAAATATATAAGGGAAATATATGTCATTACTAGCCATAATATTGGCAGTTTTGCGATATGTCCACCCGACTGTTATAAAAAATCAATAAAAAT